CCAGATTTGTCGCTCGGATCAAACCTCCTCCAAAACCTCCACGTTCTTATTTTAGAACAAAGACGTCGACTCTCAGGCGGAGACAGAGGGGGAGGGAGGGAGGGAGGGAGGGAGGCAGAGGTGAGACAGAGCGGGAGGTAGTGGGTGAGGCAGAGGAGGAGGTAGAGGCAGAGGAAGAGGCAGGGGGGGAGTTAAAGGGTGAGGCAGAAGGGAGGCAGAGGGAGAGGGGGAGTAAGAGGGGGAGACAGAGCAGAGGTAGAGGGGGAGAGCGAGAAGCAGAGGAGAAGGAACAGGGAGAGGCAGAGAGGGAGGGGCAAAGTGGGAGACAGAGGGAGAGACAGAGGGTGAGGTGGAGGGGGAGACAGGGTGAGAGACAGGGGGGGTAACAGAGGTGAGGGAGAGGAGGAGGCAGGGGGGGAGTTAAAGGGTGAGGCAGAAGGAGAGAGGTGAAGCAGAGGGAGAGGCAGAGATAGAGGCAGAAGTAGAAGCAGAGGAGGAGGGAGGCAGAGAGAGAGACAGAGGGAGAGACAGAGGTGAGAGACAGAGGGAGAGACAGAGGTGAGGCAAAGGGAGAGACAGAGGTGAGGCAAAGGGAGAGACAGAGGGAGAGACAGAGGAGAGGCAGAGGGAGAGACAGAGGTGAGGCAAAGGGAGAGACAGAGGGAGAGACAGAGGAGAGGCAGAGGGAGAGACAGAGGTGAGGCAAAGGGAGAGACAGAGGGAGAGACAGAGGAGAGGCAGAGGGAGAGACAGAGGTGAGGCAAAGGGAGAGACAAAGGGAGAGACAGAGGTGAGGCAAAGGGAGAGACAGGGAGAGACAGACGGGGGAGGCAGAGGAGAGGCAGAGGGAGAGACAGAGGTGAGGCAAAGGGAGAGACAGAGGGAGAGACAGAGGGAGAGACAGAGGGAGAGACAGAGGGAGAGACCGACGGGGGAGGCAGTCTCTCTAATCACTCCTCATTCAACCACAACAAGCAAACCAACACTCTCTGCCTCCCCCTTCTCTCCCCCTTCTCTCCCCCTTCTCTCCAAGTGCCTCTCTTCACACGGGCAGAACAAGCAGCGTTTAAACTCACATTCTGAACAACACTTGCCAATTACCTCCTCTGGTTTTCTAATTTACCCCATTGTCGTTTGGTCTAATTAAAAAGCACACGTTGCTAATGACGACCACTACAGTCTGAACGAGGAGGTGATTGAAGTCCGCAATTAGCAGGGAGCGGCTAAAGATGCTATCAGTCAAAGCGCTAACTACACTTTCTCTCGTGCGTAATGTTAAATGAGGAAGTTGTGAGAGGCCGGTATAGAAAAGGCGAGGTTATTTATATGGCACAGTTCATACAGAAAGGAAACTCAAAGGGCTCGGCGTAAACAAGAGAGAGACATTGGTACAAGACATGGCTGCGCAAGGGTTAGCGCTCGAGCTACACGGCAAAAAGGTCCTGATTCCACCTCCAGGCCTTTTTGTGTGGATTTGTTTTTAAATATCCACACAAATAACGGACAAATAACAGAAATATAAAAAGAAAAGAAAAAAAACACAAAGCAAGGACACCAAAGAAAAAAAAACAAAAATGGGTAAAAAACTAAAAATGTCTAATTATCAGAATTTCTTTCCAATGAAAAAGCATCAAGAATTTTGTCCTCATTTGG